TGCAGGGGTATGCGAATCCTGCAGGGGTCTGTGGGGTGGGGAAGAGGTGGCCTGAGGGGAGCACAGAGGCTCCTCTCAGAGCCCCTCACACCTGTCACTTATCTCAGGCTGCCCAGAGAGTACGTGAATGGCAGGCACTGTCTGCTGTGTCACCCTGAGTGTCAGCCCCAGAACGGCTCAGTGACCTGCTTTGGATCGGTGAGGAGCTGGAAGCTCAGTGGGGTGGAGGGAATACCAGGGACCTGGAGGCTGGCCAGGAGCTGCAGGTGTCTGGTAGAACCCTGGGGAGTGCATCAGCTAGACCCGCACAACAAGAGTGGGGAAGGGCGGGAGGCTGGGGTGCTGGTGCACCTTGGGGCGCTTAGAGCCTGGTAAAAGGTCCCAAGGAGGCCCGTGTTCTCAGCCATGCTGTGCTAAGGTGGTTAGCCCAGGGGCTCAGGCATCAGGACCTGGATTCAAATCCAGGTTCTGCTTCCAGAGGTTTTCTTTTTCACAGAGTGAATGTTGTATTGATAACAGTGCCTGTCTCATTGGGGTAGGCCGGGGATGAAATGAACAGAATTTGGCACAATGAGTAAGCAAAACAGGGCTTTCTACACAATCTATGGCATCTTCAAAAAGTTCAAGGAAGATGTATATTATGAAAAAACCTACAGATTTAAAATTATTCTGCACCAGAATAAACTTGTAGTCGAACTCCTGTTTTTCCATGAACTTCCTGAGGTCCCCTGTAGTTCGTGTTGATCCTTACTGTTACACCTAAGTACTGCCCCTCCTTCTCTGGTTGCCTCCAGTTCTTATTTGAAGCCCACCTTCTGGACTGAGCTTTGAAGGAGGGCATCTGAGGGGGGGATGGGGTGAAGGGTAAGGAAGCTTATTCCAGGAGCAGGGTGGAAAGTGTACTGAATGGCCATGGGGAGCCCAGTCCTGCTGCTCTGGGAGTGCCATGCCAGCCCTGCACAAACCCTTTCTCCCTGCCCAGGAGGCTGACCAGTGTGTGGCCTGCGCCCACTACAAAGATGGAGCCTCCTGCGTGGCTCGCTGCCCCAGCGGTGTGAAGTCTGATCTCTCCTACATACCCATCTGGAAGTTCCCCGACGAGGAGGGCACGTGCCAGCCGTGCCCCATCAACTGCACGCACTCGTGAGTTGGAGGGGCTTCTCTGCAGAAAGCGGGGCTTTCAATTCAGGAGCCTCTTGGGGGCTCTCCGGTAGTAAAATGGGGACTGCCCTCCCTTTGCTTCCCCTAACTCTTAATCTTCATGTTTTTTTTTTTTTTTTCCTGACCACAAAAGTAACATGTTGTAAACAAAACAAAAAAACATGTTAAAATTTAAGTTGTGGGACCAGCAGTTGGCATAATGGCTATGTCACTGGACTCCCATGTAGTTGACCACGGTTCGAGTCCTGGGCCCGGTGGCTTAAACTCACACTGGGCACGTGTGCATGTGTTCCCAAGATTCTGAGAGGAGAATGGAGGAGAAGGGATTGCGGCATGGCCATCCCCCCCGGGGAGGTGATTTCTCACTTTCTATCTCTCCGTCTCTGTCTTTCTGGCAAGTGCATGCACCCTATACCAAAAACCTCTCCAAAAAAAAATAAAATAAAAAGTTGTTTAGGCCAATCCATGACCTGGTGGCTAAATCCCACATGGCTGAGTGAGCAGTTTGAATCGCAGACCTGGGCTTGAAAACATGTCAGGTGCATGTGCATCCCCAGAATCCCAAAAGGAGAGAGAAATGGAGGAGATGGAATTGTAGTGTGAGTATTCCCCCTGGAGAGGTACTTTTTCCCTCTTCCTCTCTGCTAAGTGCAGGTGTCCTCTCGCAAATTAAAAAAAAATTAAGTTATAAAACAAAATATATTTGCAATATTTTCCCTCCAGGTTTTTCATTTTTAAGGAATCAATTAATTATTATTTTTAAAGAATTATTTAATTTTATTTATTCATTCATTTATTTTTAATTTGACAGAGAGAGATGGGGGTGAGGGGAGGGGTGAGAAAGCAAGCCACCAGGTCTGGGACTCTAAACATGGTCAGCCATGTGAGAGTGTCCAACGCCCCAACCAACACGCCACTTGATGGTCCTCAATTATTTTAATTCACCAGAGAGTGTGAAAGCAAGCTGTCAGGTCTGGGACTCGCAGCGCGGTTGACCATGTGGAAGTCCAGCACCTTAACCACCATGCCACCTGCCAGCACCCCCTCCAGTTACTATTCAGAAACATTTTTTTAAAAAAGAATTGCTTATTTAATTTTATTTACTCATTCATTTATTTTTTAATTTGACCGGAGACAGAGAGAGAGAAAGTGAGAAAGCAAGCCACCAGGTCCAGGACTCGAACTATGGTTGGCCACATGGGAATATCCAGCGCCTTAACCACCATGCTGCCTGCTGGTCCCCCCTGCAGTTATTTTATCTGTGCACTTTTTTAAAAAAATTGCCACAGGGCATGTGTGCTTGTTGGAGAGAGAGAGAGAGAAAGGGAGGCAGTGGGGGGGGGAGAGAAAGCACCCCTAATGGGACATGGTCACATCACAATCCCTTCTCCATTTCTCCTTTCAGGATTTTTGGTGTGTTTTTCCAGCTGCCAGGTCCAGGACTTGAACCATGGGGTTGGCTATGTAGCATTCTAGCTGCTTTAACCACCATGCCATTGGCTGGCTCTTACGTATATGCTAACATGTACTATTACTATAATGTCTGTTACACACATTACTGCACATCGTTTTCCAGTTACCCTTATTATCTGCATGTTCTGTTGGAACATGAGTATTTTACTTTTACCAAAATGGGACCATAGAGCATATTTGGTCTACCAAGTGCTTTGTTTTTTTTTAACTTAATAATAATGTGGGTCCAGTAGGTGCATGGTAGTTAAGGCACTGGACTCCCAAATGGTAGACTGTGGTTCGAGTCTCAGACCTGCCAGTTGAAAACCATGCTGGGCACATATGTGTGCATGCTCAGAATCCCAAGGAGAATGGAGGAGAAGGGATTGCAGTGTGGCCAAACCCGGAGGGTGATTTCTCACTTTCCCTCTCACTGTCTCTTTCTTTCTTTATCCAGTGAGTGTGTGTACCCTATGGCAAAAAAAAAAAAAAAAAAAGAAAAAAGAATATTATAACATTTTCCACATCCCAACATAATAATCTGCTTTTCCTTTATTTTTCACTTAGCTGTCTTTAATTACACATGGAATATATGACTACGTCCTTTGATAAACATTTTCAACAATGTAAAATGTAAATGTTTCAAAATAAATACGCCCTTTCACTCTGCTCCTCTGCCCACCCAGTCTCTCCCCTCCCTGGGGTGGGGAAGAACCAGCAGGTCGACTGTGGTGTGTGCATCCTTCAAGTTTTTCTCTACACAAGTGTGTAGAGATTAGATTGAGTCACATGAAAGTCAGAGATGGTACAGGGCCCAGCCGCGATGGTGCACGGATAGTACCCTGCTTGGGAGGGAGGAGAGAAGCACATGGAAGGCCTGATTCGGTTCTCAGCCAACTTGAACACGCCAAGTAGGTGGCCTGGTGGTTAAGGCTGGGCAGGGTGGTGACACGGTGAAGCCCTGCAGAAATAGCCATCTCTTTCTTTCTTTTTTTTTTAAAAGAATTATTTAATTTTATTTATTTTAATTTGACCAGAGAGAGACAGAGACAGAGAGGAGGAAAGTGAGAAAGCAAGTCACCAGGTCCAGGACTCGAACCATGGTCAGCCATGTGGGAGTGTCCAGCACCTTAACCACCATGCCACCTGCTGGTCCCCAACCATCTCTTTCTTTTACTCCTCCCTAGCCCTATCTCTAATAAAAGGGTAAAAATGGTCAAGAAACAGTTATTTCATATAGTTCAACTGATCTATAATCAGACTTTTTTTTTAAGATTTGATTACTTGTATCTGCATTTGATAATATATGAAGATATGCATATTTTTAAAGAATTATTTTATTTAATTTTATCTGTTTATTCATTTATTTTTAATTTGACCAGAGAGAGACAGAGACAGAGAGGAGGAAAGTGAGAAAGCAAGTCACCAGGTCCAGGACTCGAACCATGGTCAGCCATGTGGGAGTGTCCAGCGCCTTAACCACCCCGCCACCTACTGGTTCCCAATATGCATATGTATTAAATGCAGTTGCTGGAGACAGAGAAAGTGAGAAAGCATCCCCCAAGGGGGAAGGCCACACCGCAACCCTTTTCCTTCATTTTCCTCTCTGGATTTTGAGCACACATGCACGTGTGCCCAGCATGATTTTCAAGGGGCTGGGTCCAGGACTTGAACTGCGCGGTCAGCCGTGTGGAATCCAGTCACTTTAACCTCCATGCCATCTGCTGTGGTGTTTTTGGGGTGTACACAGAGAGATGGAACTGGGGGGGGGGAGAAGCTTTGTCAGTTGACCTTGGGCTCTTTTATGAAAGGAGTAACTGAACTTTCAGATTTGGTGCTCTCAGGGGGTACAAAGGCAGTATGGGGCGGGTATGAGGATTCCCAGGCTGGAGAAGGAGTCCCCACTTGTGGGGTGGCAGCTGGGAGCCAGAGCCCTGATGACCTTGAGCCCAGTTTCTGCCTTTGTCAAACGGGGATGTGACCAGCCACACCCCCATTGGGTTGTTGAAAGGCTG